GACGAAGAAGAAGAAGAGGAAGAATAAGGGGGAGATGATGACGACGAGGAGGGGGGAAGAGAAAATGGTGACGGCTATGATATAGGACAAGAAGAAGAAGAAGAAGAAGAAGAAGAAGAAGAAGAAACGTGGAGAAGAAAGAAGAGAAAGAAAGAAAAATAAAAATTTGCTGGTACCTTACCTGCGCGTCGGCGATGGCAGCAGCGGCGGTGACTATGACATGGCAGCGAGGACGAGGCAATCGATGATGATGACGTGGCAACGACGGCGACGAGGTTGATGACGTGGCAACGACGGCGACGAGGTTGATGACGTGGCAACGACGGCGACGAGGTCGGCCGCGACGACGATGACGTGGCAACGACGGCGACGATGATGAAACAGGGCGGGAGGGAGGGCCTAAGCCGCTCCGATACCAGTGTGACGGGGCTGAGGCAGAGCAGCGAGGTCGGGGAAGAGAGAGGGAGGGAGTGAGAGCACACACACACACTCACTCAACTCGACATGGACTCGACATGACTCGACGGACGCAGACACAAAGTGGCGAAGTCGCAAAGTCTCAAAGTCGCAATATTGGATTCCGAACACAATGTCGCAGCAAGTCACACTGAAGCACAAGCACTGAGGCGGAAGACTGAATGCCGAACTCAGCTTGAGTCCGGTCTTAAGTACCGGAAGTGCAATTTGCCTCGGGGATGAACTGAAAATTGAAGGTCTGAGCCTGGGCGCCAGAATGCCAGATGGCGCCAAGTATCAAAATCCGAAAGTGCCAGAGGAGGGATTTGAGAACGGGCGCCAACTGCAGAGGGCGCCAACAGTCAGGAACCGGAGATCAGAGACTCAAAAATAAAATAGCAGCCTGGCGGGTGGTAACCTGCGGACCAGGGATCGAGCCCTGGCTGAGTCCGTAACAGCAGCTCTGCAGTTGTATGCAAAATTGCAAATGTGAATGCTTTCAGGGCATTTTCCTTTTCATAGTTGAGTTGACCTCTTTTTTTTTATTCTTTTTCTTTTTTTTTAAAGCAACACCCGGGATGGTGCTAGGGGTGCTGACCTCAAAACTCTTGAGACGCTGGATGAAGAGCTTTATACATGCACATGGTGTGTGTGTGCACTGTTGATAACTTGATGCGATGACCATTTTGCAAGGATGATACGATCTTCTATAGCCGAAGAACTCCCTGCTGCTGATCTGCAGCTGCAGAGTTTTCCAGATCAGGGAAGCTTTGCAGATTCAGATCAAGGCAGCTGCAATTGAGTGGTTTGTGTGGTGGAAAACAGATTTGTTGAACAGGTTGCATCCTTCTTTTTCGTCGTATACAGGCTCTGTCCTCCCTAACAATGACCGGAGATTATCTAACGCAGTCATTTGTCAAAAGCGTCCTTGATCTTCTGTTTGTTAAAGTTCAAAATCCTCAATGCCATTGGATACCGATTGGGCTGAAATCCTTGTTGTTGTTGTTGTTGTTGTTTCTGGCTCTCCTCTTGCTCCATTCCCCTTTGCTATTGCCATGATCTCCTCAATTCTGTTTCACATTTGACATACTCAGCGTGTGCACTGGATCTGGTTTAAGGCACCCGGAACATCGGCGCAAAGGAATCTACTTCAAGGAGCTGGTAAGAGCTCGTTTCCACATCTTATTTGTTTTTCTCGCATGTATTGATATTTGCAAGTCTACGCCCGCTAAGACCCTTAGAGGGCCCCTTTTTGCAGCACGTCGGCCGCCCTAAGTGAAGGCAGGCACGACAGGCCCTCAGGGCCTCTTTTTTTCAGGCCACCCCGCAACTGGGGAAATTCAGACAGTTGCGCTGCGCCAGTTGGTTGAGGGCGCCCAGGCCCAGGCCACATTTTGCAAATGTATCTGAGTGGTTCCCTGGGCCAGACGCGGATGCAGTCCGTGGACAGGCCAAGGGCAGTTGGGCACATGCAACTACCCAGGCCCTGGGTCTGCGTGTGAGGTCTGGGCCTCTGCCTACCGGGGCGTACCGGAAGCTTCTTGGGAAAGGCCAGACGCAGCCTGGGACAGAGCACGGGCAGGCCACTTCCAT